GGCCGGCACCCGCGGGACCAGCCCACACAGCGGGAGGGGCGGGGGGGGGGCTCAGGCCGCTCTGCGCGCGCGACAAGGCCCAGAGGACGAAGCCCCGAGGCCTAGTGGCCCGCTCCAGCCTCGTGCGCCCGGCCGCCCGGCACGTGGCCCCGCGCTGTCACTTACCGGCCTGGGCGGCCGGGTGCTCCGGGCCCCGCTGGAAGGGGAAGCGGAAGAGCAGCTTGTTGCCGCGGCTGCCCGAGCTCACCAGGATCACGCTGATGGGACTGGTACTCTCGCCCATCCCCCCCGCGCCGGCTCCCCGCGAGGCAGCCGGAGGCGCCGCCACTCCCACTCCCCCTCCCTCACAGCTCCCCGAGCGAGCGGCAGCCGCGGGCTATAGAGACGCCTCAGTTCAGTAGCATAGAAGGGCCCTAAAGAAGCAATGCCTGGCGGACTTCCGGTTCCGCGCATGCGCTGAGTGGCCGCCGGTTCGAGCTGCTCCGGTCTAGAGGTCGCGCTCTGCCGCGGGCCGGTGAGAAGCGAGCGACGCTTTCCCCGAGGCTGGGCCCGCTCGTGTGAGGCATGAGATCCCCTCCCCCCGCGGCTCTGCCGTGCCCCGGGCTGTTCGGGCCCGCACGAGAACAGGACGGGGAGCTCTGCCGCACGCAGGCCCAGCACAGACCCGTGCACAGCAGCCTGGGGCTCCGGGGTTACCCCCCGTGGCGCTGTCTCTGCAGCCTGTGCGTATCCTGCCGCTCAGAGCCTGGGACCTGCCAGCCACTGCAGCTCCCAGCCCAGCCTGCGGAACCCTACCGCCGTGCCGGGCCACTGGCTCTGGTTCGCTCGCTGACCTCCCAGGGGCTCACGCCCCTCGTCGGTCTAACAGCCGTTTGATTCTCCACCACAATTCCGTTCACCGGCCCAGGCCCTGCAGCATCTCCCACCATCACCCAGCAGTGCAGCAACGCCAGGCTGGAGGAAAAGACCTTGTAGACTCTACACTGAGCTGGGGGGTTAATACAAATACAAACTTAAACACACCAGCCCTAGTGTACACTAGGTGTTTCACTTTGTACTAATTAATATGTTATAACTGTGATTTTCCAGAGTACACAAACCCATGTGGCCAGCATTTCAGTACTTCCCTGACTAATGTCTAGCACAGTGGTCCCCAACGCAGTGCCTGCCGGGGCATTTATGTGCGCCCAGTAGGGGAGAGAAGCCCTGCGCCTGCAGGGGACAGAGAACTCCGGGGCTGCTTGTGGTGGCAAAAAGCCAGGAGCCGGCCCTGGCCAGAGCCCTGCCGCTGGAGAGCCAGAACATCGTCCCCTGGAGCCGAGCCCAGGCTGCGGCAGCGAGAGGGGCTCCCGCAGTGTGTGAGGAGCCGGGGAGGGAGGGAAGTGGGGCCCGGGATGCAGGGAGGGAGGAGGGGTCCTGCTGCTGCCACTTGCATCTGAAGAAGTGAGGTTCTTACCCACGAAAGCTTATGCTCCCAGTACTTCTGTTAGTCTCAAAGGTGCCATAGGACCCTCTGTTGCTTTTTACAGATTCAGACTAACACGGCTACCCCTCTGATATTTGCTACTGTT